AAAATTGATTATGATCAATATAAATGGACTTAATTCAGCTGTTAAAAGAAGGAAAATATTTCATAAATTAGAGAAATTAAAATTTGATATAATCTGCCTACAAGAAATACCCATTAAAAAGCAATATGAACAAATGTTGGTACAGCCAAAATTAGGGAAAATATTTACTTTGTTGACATGATGCAAGAAAAGAGGAGTGGTTTTATATATTAGAGATACAATTATAGCGGAACAAATTTACACAGATAATGATGGAAGATTCTTGATGGTTGAAATAATGGACAATAATGTGAAAATACTTCTAATAGCAATTTATGCTCCAAGTGATAATCAAGAAGAATTCTATAGAAAATTACACAGGAAAATAATTGAATTGGGTTATGATAATATATGCATGATGGAAGGTTTTAATGAAACAGTAGATGAGAAATTGGACTATAAAACACAGAAAACAATCAACAGTCAATACCTGCAGAAAGTGAATTTAACCCAGATATCTAAAGACATTGAATTGATGTTAGAAAGGAATATAACGATGATGGAGTTAATTGAAGCATTAAAAAAACAAAATAATGGAAAGGCACCAGGCCTGGACGGATTGCCAGTGGAATTTTATAAGACATTACAGGAATCGTTGAATTTTCCATTGTTAGAAGTTATGAAGTCATGTTAAAGATGAGGACACCCAAATCATGGTCAGAAGCATGTATTACACTTGTGCCAAAGGAGGACGCTGACCCACAACAAATTAAGAACTATAGACCTATTTCCCTGCTAAATTCAGACTATAAAAACTTCGCTTCAATAATGGCAGAAAGACTCAAAAGATATTTAAATAATTTTATTCATCCTGATCAAAATGGGTTTCTGCCAAAAAGACAAATTAAAGACAACATGAGAATAATCCTGCACACTATGGAATATTATGAGGCACATCCTGAAAAACAAATGGCTTTGATATTTTTAGATGCACAGAAAACCTTTGATAATGTGAATTGGTGATTTATGTTATTACAGTTGGAGCAGATAGGCTTTGGTAAGAAATTTATTCAAACTATAGAAGCTATATATAATAAACAAACAGCAAAGGTAATGATAAATGGGGAATTGACAGATTGTATTGATATAAAGAAAGTGTGAGATGGTGCTCCATTCAAAATCCAAGAAATACTTAGATTCCATTTATTAGAGAAAAGATATCTTTTACTGAAAATCAAGTGGTAGCAACAAAAGAATTCTGAATCTGAGAAAATGAGCACATAAATCACATATACACACATAAATCACATATACAAAGTGATGGCAATGTTCCCACCCACAATAGTTCAATTGGCTCATCCAATTAAAAGTTGTGTATAGCATCATGTGGGCATCTCCAGGTGGTGATGAGGCCTCTGTGCGTTGACCTTGACATATTTTGATAAAGAGTTGCAGTTGCGCATAGCATAGGATAGAAGCTTAAGCAAGAAACTTCCCCCCTCGATTTATACAGTTCTGTTTTTTAAAACCTCCAGCTCGCTTCCCATAATCATGTCCCCCCCCTCCTTCCCTGTTACTTATGACAGCTGAAAGATGCAAAGCAAAGGAAGAAAATCTTGAAGGCTGAGAGAAAGGGACAAGACAAGGTTGCCCGCTGTCACCTCTGTTGTTTGTGTTAGAAGTGCTAAATAGAAATATTAGAGAAGAAAAAGAAATAAAAGGAATGAAAATTAAAAAGGAAGAATATAAATTACGAGCATTTGCAGATGATCTGGTTTTTATCTTAGAGGATCCATTAGAAACAGCACCTAAGTTGATAGAAAAGATAGAGGAATATGGAAATGTAGCAGGCTTGAAAATAAATAAAGATAGAATGAAGATTTTAACAAAGAATATGCTTGCAAAACCAAAGGAAGAATTGGCAGAAGTTTTGAAGATCCAGGTCACGAATAAAGAGTGTACTTGGGAATACACTTGACAGCAAGATGTGGTACATTTAAAGAGGATAATTATTATAAATTCAACAACAGATCGTGACAGATTTGGCAAAATGGGAAAATTTACAATATTATTAATAGGGAGAATATCAACAATTAAAATGAATATATTACCTAGAATTTTATACTTGTTCCAGACAATTCCAATTAGGTTAGGGAAAGATTATTTTGAAGATTTGAACAAAATAGTGTTGAAATATATTTGGCAGGGAAAGAAGGCGAGAATAAAATTAAAACTATTGCAAGATGCTAGAATAAGAGGAGAATTTGGCCTGCCTAACTGGGAGTTATATTATCAGGCAGCAATTTTGATGTGAGTCCAGGAATGGATAACACTAAGAAATACTAAATTATTGACACTAGAAGGACATGATTTGTTATTGGGATGGCATGCCTTCCTATGGTACAAGGGGTCTAAAACACATGGGTATTTCAGGAGACATTATATATCAGAGGCTTTGTTATTAAATTGGGAGAAGATTAAAAGGCAACATTATTTAAAAATTCTAGTCTGGCTTTCAACTATTGAAGCATTTTCATACCCAGTTATATATAAAATGGAACAAACAGTTAGATATAGTGAAATATTGAATGAAAAGAATGAACTTAAATCTATGCAAGAACTAGAAGAACAAGATATAAGGATGAATTGGTTTTCATATGTGCAAAATACATTCTAGATATGATAAAGATTTTAAAACAGAATGATTCTATGATAAATTGATTGAATTAGATAAAATTTTGACAGGTACTGATGAAAAGGTGATTTTAAAAAACTATATGGATATTTATTAGAGGTTAAACTAGAAGAAGAACAAGTTAAAAAAAAACAATGATTGCTTGGGGGAAGAACTTTTGATATGGAATTGATTTAGAGAAATGGCAAAAATTGTGGTCTCACAATTATAAAACGACAATGTCAACAGCATATAAAGAAGATTTGTATAAGATGTATTACAGGTGGTACTTACCCCCGACGAGAATAGCAAGTTTGTTCAAGAATAAATTGGAGAAGTGTTGAAAATGTCATCCGATACTGGGTTCATACTACCATATGTAGTGGACGTGTGCAGAGGCGAAAAGATACTGGACTAAAATCCACACATGGTTGGAAAAAATGATAAAATAACACATAGACTTTAAACCAGAGATATTTTATTGGGTATTTTACCGGAATTATACAGTAGAGATTTGAAATATTTGATTGTAAATGTATTAACAGTGGCTAGAATTGTATTTGCTAAAAATTGGAAAGATGAGAAAATTCCAATGCAGGAGGAAGTTATCAAGAAAATAATGGAATGTACTGAAATAAGTAAATTGACATTTGAAATTAGAGAGCAAGAAGATAAACAATATTACAAGATGTGGAACTTATTTTATTAATGGTTATATAAAAAATATGAAATATTTTAGAGGACTTTACAATATAAGGATAATAGAATTATAGAGAATATAACATAAGGATATATTATTATTGGATGGATTTATGATGATGGAATGAATGTTACAATATAAATTAACTTAAAATGTTGAATATCTCGCATAAAATGATGGAATAATAGTAATAGTCAAATAAATAATTAACAATGATAATAATATACATATATATATACTAGGTGGATAATATGAGAATTAATACAAATTATAAGTGAGGACGATGGAGATGAAGCACAAAAGACTTGTAACCAACCAACACACTGTATGTAACTGGAAGATAGTTTTATGTTTTGTTTGTGTATGTTTATTTTTAAAAAGTAAAAAAAAAAAGAAAAAGAAAAGATAATCTGAAGCCATATTTGTGTTGTTTCATCACTCTATCCTGGGGAACAAGGTAACTTCATAGACAATTGGTAGGTGGATTAGAGCTTGTATATCCAAGGCATACCAAACTTTAGGAGTACAGCTACTTTGGCCGCCTGGTCTACTCAAGCATTGCTGGAGGAGATCTGCAGGGTGCTACCTGGGCTTCGGCTTCACCGTTTATATGGCATTATCACCTGGATTCATTTGCCTCAGCACAGGCATTGTTTGGTCAGAGGGTGCTTCAACAGGTGGTTCCTCAGTCAGAGTGACTGGCTCAGACATTGGCCCTCCCGTGGACATGCATGCTTTGGTATGTCCCATTCCTGGACTCTCGAGGCAGCCTGGATGAGAATGGGCGTTGGTATAATTACCTGAGAACACTCTTTCTATCTACACTGCAAGAATGCAGTCCAGCTGTCCTGAAAAGAATAGGATTTCTTAGAAACTCCAATTAAAATCTACCTTCAATTCTTATTGAAATAATTCATGACATTTAAAGACAGCGTAGATGCTAATTATAAAGATTTGTGTTTTCTGGGTGATGGTAGTGGCAAGAACCAATTGTATTCACCAGATATATTGTATTCATCAATTAATCTGAGATGTAAAACGCATTACTATTTACTGATATCTCTAGGTGTGGAAAAGCAGATGTGTGGATGGATCCAGTTAAAGCTCTCTTCCATATAATTCATTATACAGCATTGATTGTTTCCTATGATGATTTGATTGCTTATTTGTACCCTATGACTGTCATTAAATATTGTACTTTATGATTCTTGACAAATGTATCTTTTCTTTTTATGTACACTGAAAGCATATGCACCAAGTGTGATTGCGTGTCCAATCACACTTGGCCAATGAAGAATTCTTCTATGAGCTAGTGCCATTACCCAAACATCATTAACATAGGTTAAAGATTAGTGGACTAGCTCTTTGTGCTATTATGTTAATTCTTCTCAAATGTGCTTGAGCTAATTATTCAGCCAAAAAATTATCAACCATTTTCTCTTCTACCAAGTGATCTGATTCTAGTTCGCTAGTACTGTATTCTTTCCATGTTTAATTTATTTGCCAAGATGATGATATATATGTTTTAATAGTACTTTGTCTGATTTCCCATATAAAACCAAAGTGTAAGCAAAACCCACTTTTTCCATCACTCTGATAGATTGTTATCTGTTTATTTACAAATAAAATATATTTATCTAAGCCTACCTGTCTTCCTTCCATTGCTCCACGCATTTCCTTGAAAGTTGAATTGAATTCTCCAATGAAGTCATGCTTGCCATTGGAATCCCAGTCCCAGACTATACACTGAAAGAAATATAAAAACTAAAAAATCCCAAAATTTGATTACAACAATAAAAACAACCCTTTTATGGGAAAAATATCAGACTGTGCAAATCATGTTCAAATTCTTAATATCCCCTCTATAATGAAATGAGAAACTACCTACTTACTCCATAACTTACTCCATCTATCTCAACAAAAGCTAGCAAGAATCCTGCGATAGGCCATAACCTTTACGGGTAATAAAGCCATGGTAAAAAACAGACATTCTATATTTGTTTGGGAAGGTGTGCATCCCATTTCATATATATCAAAGCCATTCAGATTTTCTGGTTTTCATGCTTGTCTAAAAAATTTGCAACTGCTTTAGCGAGACCACTTACTAAAATTAACAAGACCTTTAAGAAAATGGCATTTTTGTCAGGAATAAAAACTTAAAAAATAATAATGGGTTGAAAGTTGGGTTATTAAGTACCTTTTTGGGGATCCATTGTGCTCTGAATGGTTACTAACAACTGGTTGTTAAGTGAGGACTACCAGTAGTCTCTTCTTCCTTCAACTTAAATTCAGCTTTATTGTGGAAAACATAAGGAAAAGGATCCCCTGCTTAATTTTGGCATTATGCATTTTCATCCTGTTGTGATTATTCATCTTATACTTGATTTAATTTATATCAGTGAAAATTGTCTTGTCATGTGCATTTTATTATAATATACAGTATTTTCATTGTGGAATGCTTTCTAAACAGAAAACTCAGATTGATTTTAACCTGGTATATATAAAATATTGTCTTCTTTGGAAAAAGGCACAAGAAAGATAAGATATTCAAAAGATAGATATCCAAAATTATTTATAAAAAATAGCTTACATTTGAGTACTTATGTCTATACTGTTAGATTGATTCTCCTCCACCTCCTACTGCCTTCCTACTACTAATGCTATTAAGATAGTGAAGACCCAGATTATAAGGGAGGGACTCACTAGTATGTACATAACTAGATTCCTGATAATACATGTAGTCCATCAGGCAGAGGAGATTGCGATCTCTCCTCTGCATAGATGAGCAATGATGATCAAGAGTTTCAGACTGTGATCTTTTCTTACTTGGTGTTTTAAAGAAATGATTCTGAAACGGGTGCTGAGCAAGCACATTGTGACTGAATTCTGCATCACTACTTCTAAGTGAAGCCAATATTTTATATAAATGAGTGACAGAGCCAGACTTTTCTGGAAATTGTAAACTAAATGGTTTAATGCCCTACAGCTATGGTAAAATGGAGAACTAATAGTTGAGAACCTGTTACACCCTCAGGCTTTTGTAAACTATTTTGTACAGTATCTTCTACTCTTTCTTTACAAAAGGGGCAATGCATATCAAATAAGCTTCAAACACAAAGCCTTTATTTCTTGATGAAGATACCTTACACAATATGCAACTGCCTTTGACTCCTTCTCCCATCCTACCTCTTATAAAAACAAGCGCATAAAATTCCACTTGCTGATTAAAGAAAAAGACAAAGGATCATTATTGTTAATGATTCATTCATCAGTCTTTCATTAGAATGTCAGAAAGTTGTTTCAAAAGAGAAAGGACAATTTTAGATTGTCTGAGGTTTGAATTGTAATTGGAGATCCCAAATTACATATACTGTTAAGGTTAACATGCTAAAGCTGATTTTTTAACTTCTAACTTTAGAGAAGTAATGTGAAATATAGCCTACTCAGAAAGTAAGTCCTAGCTTGATTTTTACATGTGCTCCCAATATAAGCCCTACCCCCTAAATAAGCCCTAATTAAGACCCCTCCCACTCCAGGGTGCACGGGTAAAAATTAAGCTAAGATGAGGATTGGGGAGGTGAAGCTGTCCTACTACTTACCTTCAGATAGTTGCAGCGAGGCCTTGCACATCTTGGTCCATTTCTTCTGCAGCCAGCAGTTTTCCTGAAGGCCTCTGTAGCTGATAACAGAGATCAGTCCGGAGCTGTGTTATCAGCTAAGAAGCCTTAGGGAAAACCTTGCTGGCTGCAGAAGAAATGGGCTGAGGTGTGCGAGGCCTCGCTGCAACTATCCGAAGCTGAAGAAGTTCCTGAAAGCCTCTGACAGCAAAAAGGAGACTGGGGGCAACATGCACAAGTGAGGTGAGTCAATGGATGACATCCCCCCCCAAAATAAGACTTGGTGCCTTTTTTGGTGGCAAAAAATATATAATATAGGGTTTCAGGGAAACACGGTAGTTCCTAGAACTTTAGAAAGCCAATGATTTAGTACCAAAGTTCATGGACAAAAGATACTGACATTACCTCAGTGTTGTTTGCACAGCTATAATTAGGATAAATTTTAGAAGCATGATTGATGTCTGGCAATAAATATTCATTTTTGGTATATGGTATATGATATATTGATCACCCTGATCAATATACCATATATAGCACTCTGTGTTGTTATCGTACATATGTGTATTTTAGCCTTATCAGGTAGATCAAACAGGAAATACAACCTGGTAAGCTAATCTTAATTTATTGTGAAGCTACATGAACAGAATCTTGAAAGACTGAAAGTACAATTCCCCCACTGATTTCTTTACAACCTGAGAAATATGAACTGGTCATATTGTCCTGCCCAATATTCAGCTGCTGGCTATGATCTCTTATATAATCTGTCTAGTTGTGGGATTCAAAAATTTTTACTACTGGTTTTGTGGACATGGCTTGGTGGGCATGGCAGGGGAAGGATACTGTAAAGTCTCTATTCCCAACCCACTCCCGCCCCATTCACACTTCAGTGCTTTGAGGGTTTGCGCTCAGCTGAAGGGTGGGGCCCAGTGAGTGGGTGGGAAATGTGGGCAGTGCACCTTGTGTTCCTGCACAACCTGGATTAACTACTTCGGGCGGGTGCTTTGGAGGAGACATTTCTCTGTGTACCACCAACATTTTCTTGCAGACCACCAGTGGTCCCTGGCCCACTGGTTGATGACCACTGGACTAGATGACCTACAATGTCCCTTCCAACTCTTTTAATCTAATTCCAAAAATCTGGAAACATATCATGCTTTTTTGGACCATTTCTGGAATATTATCAATCATAAGGAATCACAGCCCCAAGGTGCTGAAGTAGGAAGCTCAGGATTGAGCCCACTGCCAGAATTTTCAAGCCAAGACTTGGCTGTAAAATTTCAATGCTTCCAAGTCCATGACTTACACTGAAGATGGCATTTAATTCCATTGTATGAGGTGCAATGACAATAAAATACTAATACTACTTAACTTCTGTTGTTTTTATTTATTTCCACAGTACTTATTTTTACTTTATTTTTTCAAACTATAAACTACCCTGAGTCTCTTACAGTAAAGCAGGATAAGATACTGGGTGTTTGCAAAGATATGGATGGGTTCAGAAAGGTCACAATAGCACTTGGTCCTGCATGAACAAAGTTTTTTTTTTTTGTAAATTTTATTTGAGTTTTCACAAAGAGAAAAAAAATAAAACATCTTTTGTGAAAGCAGCATAATCCCTGGTTACATTTCTTCGTACAGACACAAATTCAGGTTCATGCTCATTTTTATATTCTATTCCATATTTTATTACTATTTTACACTTTCTACATAGCTTCTCTCCTCTTTTAATTTTCTCAATTTTATTTTAATTATCTCATCTCAATTCAAATCATTGTATTTATATTTTTTGTCTGTCCTGTTTCAATTATCTATTATCTTTTCTCATTAAACAAAATTTCTCCTGTAGTTACTGATTGGAGTATGACGCCTTTATATCTTTTCCCTAAAGTTGTAACATTCAGTATAATACATAACTTCCATTCGGATTCTGCTTGGTACATTCTTAAAATACACACTGTATTCTTAAAAAAAGAAAAAAATTATAAATGTATATAATTAAAACAACATTCCATTCCAATTCAATTCTATCATTAATATTAATATTCATTAAAGTCTTAACATCTTTAACATTACTTTTCAATTAAATATCATACTTCTATGGGAACAATTATAAGCTTTCCATAGTTAATTCCCCCCTCTTCACTTATATTTTATAAAACATTAACTAATTAAAATGTTCCCGTTCCTTCCTAATTCAATTTTCTCGTTTATTTTATTTCACTTATTTTACTCACAAACATTTCACTAAATTACACTATTTTATCTTTCATTTTAATCATACGTTTCCAATTTTCTAAAGTTATTTCTATTACTAATATAACAATACAATCTTACGTACCTTTACAAAATCCCCTTTTCAGTTAGATTTTCACCCATTATCTCTAAATAGGTCCTGTTTCTCTATATCTTGCCCCGGTCCTTTGTAACTTCTTTTCCTTTCCTTCTTCCCTCTCTTCTTCTCTCTCCCCCTTTTACCCCTTTGTCTCTCTACCTCTATTTCTCTCTTCTGTATTCCCCTTTTCTGTTGCTTTCCAGTATTATACTTATTTTTCAAATTATTTTTCTTTTCTTTGGTTGTTTTTTTAAGTCTTAAATTCTCCATTCTCTTTCCCCCCTTTCCTTTTTCTTCCCCACATAGAATTACTTGTTAATTAAAGATGGCTTCTTCTTTGTCACAGTCTTCTTGTTTTGCAGTCTTTTCTTGTTGTTTCTCATAGTTCCAAATCTCCATTTCTAAGAATTGAAAAATGAAGCCAAAAGAACCCCTCCCTTCTTGTCATCTTCTTTGTACTTTTTAAGTGCCATTTTCAATTCCTCCAGAAGTGGTGCCATTGTATAAATTTTTAAACAACCACCAATTGATTTTAGTCATTCAAATATAATAACCAAAAATCCAAAGATCACCAAATAGTCCAAATACACACAAGCTTACATTACAGACCAATCTCCTTATGCTGCATCACCTGTAAAGTCATGGAATCAATTATTAACCAATCCATCATCCTCCACTTAGAGACAAACAACCTACTCTCCAATAAACAATTTGGTTTCAGAAAAAAACTATCCTGTAATCTGCAACTCTTACACTGCAAAAACATATGGACTACACAACTTGATCAGGGCAAAACA